AAAAAGGTTACATTTTTTCCTTTTGTCGCCTTTGATCTCTCTCCCTTCCTCCTCTCTCCTCCTCGTAATTGAGTTAGTTTGTTAGAGACAAACAAAAAAGGGAACCACTGGCATTGTTTTGTTATTTTATGTTTTCACACTTCTCCAAAGTGTTGTTTGTCAGCAGTTTATATGCCGATGCAGCTCTTCTTATCTGATCTGATCTGCTCTGCTGTGTGTTTGTAAATATACATTATGAAATATTTTGCCACCCATGCAACGGTCAGAACTCGAATCACACTTTGCAAATGATATGCGATATAGGAGAGAAGCTGTATTTTGGCGTTTTCATTTAAGCCGGTGAAATCGACATGTAGCGTAAGGAACTGCTTTCGCTTGACTCACGCTATAGCCGACCTTTCTCTGCATTACATATCCACGCCACTTCCTTTTTTATGCTCAAGGCCTTCTCCTTTTCTCATGCGTAAGACTTTCTATTGTAATGTGGTACCCCTAGTGCTGTATTCTCTGGAGAGGTGAGATAAGATGCTGCTTGTGTTTTATTCCTCTGGTTTTTTTTGTGGACTTCAGGGACATTCAGGAAGCCAATTTAAAATCAGACAAGAGGATAAAACTCAAGCTTTCTGAGCTCACTGGCATGCGCTGCTGCTGTATCTTATCTTTGAGCCAGTGCCACTCTACGTCATCATGTCCTCTTTTTTTTCTCCTTTGCTTTCATCTGTGCAACATTTTATTTCATTTTCTTCTGGGTTATTTTTTCCCTTTCATTTTTGTTCACTTTTTCATGCCCATGTGGCCTCTCGGTTTTCCAAGTGGCTCACATCTGCGACTGAAAAAGTAGCAACATTCCTTTGGTAGGTTTCGCATGTGTCTGCGTTTTTTTTTTCCCCCTACAAGACTGTTGTGGTATTTGGAGGCTTTTCATGGCTTGTTTTCTAACCTCGGTGGAGCTTTGGCCTATTGAAATCTGTGGAGTTGAGAAAGAGGAACACAAAGCCAGCCAATGCATGTGAAAGGAGAGACTAGGGCAGAAAGGAAAGCTCAGTGATTTCCACAAGCAAAACCCATATCTCAAGACCAGATGAGGCCTTACGAGCACATCTGAGTCCAGCTGTCAACAGCCCATCCAGGCCTCCCCCTGGAGGACTGCTCCTTTTTACAGAAAACAAGCAAAAGGGAGCATGCGTCCTAACGGAATAGGAGGGTGCCTTTCATTACACACCCAGCTTGTGGTTTCTGCAATTAATCAGTACTCATTGGGCATCACTGGGGCTGTTTTCTGCGCTGCTGTGTGGCCAATCGTCTGGCCTCACTATGATTGCTCTTTGGGTTAAAACACAGATAGACCACACAGGACTGGCGGTGGTGCAGCACAGCACTGGCCAGTGAAACAGACAGCACTCTCCTCAGTGCCTCTGCCAAATATCCCAGGCTGGATTCCTGTTGGTGGACGGGGCCAGTAACAACTATAATTATGTGGAATGTGTGCTTTCCTGAGGTAACGATGTCACTCCAAGATGGATAGTTTATTCCATCGTATTGTAAAGGAAAATAGAATTGGCGGGAAGGCAGGGTCATTCCAAGTGAAGGTCTTTCTGAGACATGAGCTGTTTCTTTTAAAATAAATATCATTAGTTAATACATGACACATGGTTTTATTGGCCTGTCAAAAGCCTCAGTGCAGAATTTACTGCAAGAAGGCATGAAGAGATTCTCCCTTTGTGATTTTTCATATCTTTAAGTGTCATTTTTTTTGCTCAAAAGCAGAACAAAACATGTTTAAACCCCTAATTATCTCTATTTCTTAACAGTTTTACATAATTGTTTATAGTCTGTATGTGTTTCAGCAGGCAAAGCAGTTCAGCAATAAACATTTGCGCTCTAAGTTATGTACGGTAAAGTATACATTAACAAAACAGTAAAATACATACACTATGGGGGTCTTGTACTCAAGAATAAAGTTAATACTATGGTCTGAAGCTACACCATTAAATCATAGTTAGGAATTTCTGTTTGTTAGGCAAAAAAAGTCAAAGAAAATAAAGCGCACAGTCTTTTTTTCTAGCCCAGAATCAACTGCAGCTGCAGTCAAAAGCTTGATCTCTGTCATTTCTAATATAGGAGAAGCTTGGGAAGTACTTTAAAATTGTAGCATAAATGTAGTTGCTTTGATTAGTGGAAATGAAGGTAAATCACTCACAAAATCTGCCGCCTGTTTGCAGATCTCAGTGCTCTCTCTTTTGACTGGTGTATCAGCTGCATTTAACCTCATTTGTTCCCTTCACATGTGGTTGAAGGTGTTTTTAAATATTATGACAGATCCCATTGTCGAAGTTAGTCCTTACTGTGCACAGAGAAGTATTTTACCAACAAAATACCAAATCCTGGCAAACCCCCAGCCTCCCAGGCAGCTATGGATTTAGAAAT